ACTCCTAGCCGTGGAGCAGGCGAATGCATCGCTGCAGGCAACGGTGGAGCGCTTGGCTACATTGGAAATGGAGGTTGTTGCCCTCCGTGCTCAGAATCAGTTGCTGGTTCAACTTCTGGGAGGCCGAGGGCCCGTGGGATTCGCTCCGGCGCCAACGCTTTCACGTTCACTTGCGCCAGATCCCGGTATGGCATGAGCAAGCCCACGCATTAACACCGGGTGGGTGCGCATCCGTTTAGAAAGGTTTATCGTATACGCTAGACCCCGCTTGGCCACAACCTTAAACGGTCCAATAAACCGTGGACGAAGTTTTGTCCTGAAGATAGCAGAAGCTGCATGTGTAGGCAGACTTTTAGAATTCGATAAAACCAGGTCCCCGACCTTGAAGCTTTCCACTTTGCCTCTTCCTTTTTCATCTGCATATTGTTTTTGTAGGTCTTGGATCTCAGCCATTGCATCGCGAACGTATCGTAGGACACTCAGTCTGGTAGTCTGGAAGCCATCGACTTCTTTACGGATGGTAAGGGGCTGACATCAGCTAGCCGTTCGGCTATTCCTCTCCCACCAAGCCCTGAGCAATGGGATGGCGGCGTCAGCAGGACGCGAGGGTGAATCAGTTCGTTCACGTAGAACGGTGTGTAGCCGGTAGACGAATGGACTGCATTGTTTAGTGCAAACTCTACGAGTAGCAACATGGCGCTCCAGCGCCTCAGCGCCTCAGCGTCTCAGCGCAGACGCTGCGAAGAACATCTTCGATGAAGCGATTCGCCCTTTCGGTTTGACCATCGGTCTGCGGATGTTCTGCTGTCAACATATCCAACTTGGTGCCTAGCACTTGAAGATAGTAGACCAAAATTTCCCTTGAAACGGGAGTTGCTATCAGAGACAATCGACCTTGGGAGTCCGTGTTGACGGAAAACATGATCCACGAACAGCGTTGCTGACTCAACTTCGTTGATGGTGTCTGGCACCGCTGCCAGATGAGCCATCTTGCTCAACCGGTCGATATATACCACGACACCTGTGTTGCCCGACGAATCTTTCGGCAGGTCAAACACAAAGTCCAAACTCATGGACTGCCAGCATCCAGTGGGTACTGGTAAGCTAGTCAGCGGTGCAGCCGCATTTAGAGAGGGTTTTACCCGTTGATACC